CTGCTGGGCGGTTTTCCGAGCAACCCTGGGCAGCCTGGGCCTCCGCTGGGAGCGGGGAGGCCTGGGCGGTCTTCACCGCCTTCGGGGCCGGGTTCTGTCTCCCCTCCCAAGAGAGGCCCGGTGTTTAGGGTCTGGACTGGCTCCGGGGACTTCCAGGTAAATAAACAAAAATGACGAGGCACCTCGGGTGTCCGGTGTGGCTGTCATTTGCATAATCACTTTTCTGTGCTTATTAAACAGGGCTCCCAAAACCCCGAGGCGTTGCCACCACTCAAGCCCCGCCCGGAAATTGCCTCGACCTTAACCGAAGGCTCCTGGCGCCTGGGGCGGAAACGGCCTTCAGAGCCTCGGAAAGGTAAGAAGCCTGAGGAGAACGCCGACCACTGAGATTTGTTTTCCTTGGATTTATTTTTCCTTTTCAATAAGGAGTTCCTTTTCAGTTTGACAAAGTCCGGGCGCAGTGCCCAGCAATTGCAAATGGACCGGTTGGCTGGGGTGCAGCGAGTGGTAACCGGGACGCAGCTCTGCCAGCAGTCAGGCATCATTGAGACGATGGACACACGTGGGCTGAGATGCCACGGTGTCCTCGGTCTGCCACCCGCCACACGCTGGGCAGACCGCGGGTGCCTTCAGCAGGGGTGGGAGTAAGTCGTCCACGGCAGTGGGAAAGGCCCGCGGGCTTGTGTCCTGTGTCGGGGAGAAGTTCCCTGCCTGCAGTCTGCGCTGTAGAATGAGGTGGCCCTGCAGCTCCTCCCTGAGCTGGGCCCTCGGGGAAGGCTGGTGCGTGGTTGGCTTGAAAGTGCCACGCCTGTCATCCCAGCACTCGGGAGGCCGAGGCAGGAGGATTGCTATGAGTTCGAGGCCAGCCTGTATCACATAGTTTGAGGGCCAGGGATTCAGCTCGGTGGTTCTGCCACCTGCCTCGCAAGTTCAAGGTCCGAATTCATCCCCAGTACCAAAAACAAACAGTGAGTTAGGGCCAACCTGGACTACATACTGAGACCCTGTCTCCAAAAAACAAGAACAGCCACAAGCAACAAAAACCTCAAACATAATGGTGCTGATTCTTCTTGGAGAAAGAAAGAGCTTGTAGGTGAGCATGTTCTTGTGCATTTTTTCTAAGCCAGCACATACTGTAACTTCACAGGCTTGTCTGTGGTTTGATAGAACACACTGATTACATTAGGAAAGCACACGTATCGAGGCACAGATCTGATGCCCGCTCCGCCCACACCCAGCGTTGTTTATGTAACCAGCACACTTGGTTCCCATTCGGTTTAGCCCCGAATCCCCACCGGCACCTTCTCACACTGACTGCAGTGGGAGGGCTTTGGTTTGGTTTAAATTTGGATGAGAGTCTGCGTGATAGTTCATTCTGTCATTCTGGGAAGCTGAGGCAGGAGAATTGAAAACTTGGGACTGTCTCAAAATAAAAAATAAAAAAGGGCTGGGATGTAACTTGGTGCGCGGGCCGTGGGTCAGTCCCCGGGATCTCGTAAAAGGTAACGACCAGGAGCTGTGTGGGGATGGCTCGCTGGCCCCTCAGCACGAGGGGCTGCCTTCACCCTCTCCTCGCTCAGATGCTGGGACCCTCAGCTCCATGGACACCTCGGATGACAAATCTGGAGAAGCAGCTTGAGGTCGGGCCGCAGAAGTTGACCCAGCCCCGAGCAGCTGCACCAGAGGCAACCGTGGGGCGCAGAGAGCCCCTAGTTGGGGAGCAGCAGGCGGCAGCAGGTGCTGTCACTGTAGGAGCCACGGGTCGGGGGTGCTTTCCAGAGTCCGCCGCCGGGGCAGGTGGGGGTGGGTAGGAAAATTCGTGACATGTGACCAGTTGCATTTTTAAAAAATCTGTTGCAGTGCAAGGCACATTACCACGGGTCTCCGGCAGAATCCCCCTCGCTTCAGGCCCACATCCCACGGCCCTCGCCGCTTTCACAGCAGCTCTGGAGTCCTCTTTCCTGAGGGTCTTTCTACTGAGAAATCCAGAGGATGCTGTGCCGATGCCGTCCAATGGAAAGGCAGCTCCTGAAAGCACGACGCTGTGCCCTCCTCCACCTTAGTCACCGGATCTGGCTCTCTCTCTGTGACCTTGGCTCTTCCCCAAAGTCACAATGGCCAAGAAAGCTTGAGATTTTGAGTCAGTTTGGGGCATTGAAGCAGCCAGAACAGTGGAGCTAAAGACCCACAGGAAAGAGGGGTCCAGAGCTGCTGCAGAAATCGGCAAGGACGGTGGGATGAGTGTGCTCACAGCGGGGGGGATTCCTGGAGTGGACCCACGGCAGTGTCTTTCACTGCTAGAAATGGGAGCTCTGTATTTTTCCATCAGTGTTGCCGCCTTGGCAAGAGTTGCCGGCAACTTTTTTTCCCAGGGAAGCTGGCCGGAACCGCCCCTTTCAGACTCAGCAGGACTCGACACATCTTGGAGCTTCCTGGTACCATTTTAAGGAATTTCCCAACAGTGGTCCTCTTTGTGTGTGTTGCATTGTAAGACTTAAGTCTCACTTTCACTCCTGGAGCGTGAACAGCCAAGAGGCTTCCACGATGCTGGGCTCAGAAGCTCAGCGAGGCT